AAACACATGAAGAGCAGGGGAGACTTAACATGGGTTGGAAACACGAGGGGGAATTAGTAAGAACTAAAATCACCTAGGCATGGTAACAAATGAACTTAGAAAACCTGAAGGGCTTAAACATAAACTATAACATCAAAATGACCTAAAACTCAAAACACTAGGTCGCACGACCCAGGACCATGACAGCCCCAGCATGGAACAGCATAGAGGATAGCACTGGCCACAACAAACTCATAGAAAATCCTGAGCATTGTACGACAGATGTTGAAGGACCTCAGATGCCTCAGAAAATCGAGACGACTTCACACCTTTATGGTCGAATAACTGCTAAGAAACCACTATTAAGAAAAAGAAACAAGTGAAGAGATTTGTTTGTACCAAGAAATGCAAGGAATGGGCATTAGACCAGTGGAAATCTGTGCTTTGGTTAGATGAATCCAAATTTGAGATCTTTGGTTCCCTCTGCCGTGTGCCGTGTCTTTGTGAGACACAGAAAAGGTGAATGGATGGTCTCTACATGCACGGTTCCTACGGTGAAGCATCAAGGACGAGGTGTGATGATGTGTGGGTGCTTTGCTGGCGACACTGTTGGGGAATTATTCAAAACTGAAGGCACAATGAAATCAGCATGGCTCCCACAGCAACCTGCAGCAACATGCCATCCCATCCAGTTTGCGTTTAGTTGTACCATTTTTTTTATCTTTCAACAGGACAATGACCTCAAACATACCTCCAAGCTGTCTGAGGGCTATTTGACCAAGAAGGAGAGTGATGGAGTGCTCTGCCAGATGACCTGGAGTCCACTGTCGCCTAACTTAAAACCAGTCGAGATGGTTTGGGATGAGATGGATGACAGAGCAAAGTCAAAATGGCCAACAAGCGCTTAGCATCTCTGGGAACTCCTTCAATACTGTTGGAAAACCATTTCAGGTTTCATGAAGCTCATCAGGAGAATGCCAAAAGTGTGCAAAGCAATAATCAAAGCAAATTGTGGCTATTTTTAAGAATCTAAAATGTATAACTTGTTTTGAGTTATTTCACACTTTTTTGTTTGCTAAATAATTCCATATATGTTCATTCATAGTTTTGATGCCTTATTTACATTATTTACATTGTGAGAAACTACAATATAAATAATCATGAAAACAAAGACAAACCATTAAATGAGAAGGTGTGCCCAAGCATTTGACTGTTGAATGAAATGAAAAGAAACACCGATAGTGATATATGACAGATACTGTAATAGCTCTCACAGAAAGAACATGAGTCACCTTCTTTGCATTGCTCCTTCAAACATGATTTCAGGAAGTACATCTCTCTCTTTAGTTTTTCATTCTGTTATAAAACAAACAAACAAAAATATATGTCCAGATATATCCTGCAATGTTTCATGCCATTTTTCATGAAAACTCATTGTGGAATATTATGAAGTGAAATCCTGTTAGGGAAAATATTCTAAAATACTTCTTCAGTAAAGACTCAGAGAAGAGAAACACACAGAGTTCTTGCTAGCAAGGGTAGCTCCCTACTGAGAGACTCCGGTCAGGAACTGCCCTGGTCTTTATTTTATACTCCATTGAACGTGTGTGTGTGTGTGTGTGTGTGTGTGTGTGTGTGTGTGTGTGTGTG